CCGAGCCGGTCAGTTGTCTGATGTGGGATGGGCAAACTGGCTGACAGGGCCGGCAAGTTTATCTGTGCACGTCACAGCACGATTAGACGTCTGCGCTGCCCAAGTATTGAACAGAAATTTACACGGCCTTCGGACTGGTGCACGCTGTGATTATCGGTTATTATGCAATTATCGGCGCCTCCCCTTCTTGTGGCCAGCTGATTGGTGAACTAGCCGCAGTCAGTTAAACCTAAGAGGATGGAGCACTTGAGACGGTGCTTTGATCACACCATCTGGCAACCTGGACGTCACCTTTCCTTAATTTCAAGACAACGACGCTCATTGCCTGTCGCCGAGACGACATCCGCAATCAAGCTAAGAAGTGGGAGCGAGATCGGGCGTCAGAGACATGTACCGCTGGTATCAACAGTTCAGACTGAGGACTGCCCTCGTATAAAATGCCGTTTTGGCTCCAACCTTCGTGCTATGGTCTGATATTCGCAGCCTTCGGCAGTAACTTTTTGTTCGTATAACCCGCGACGATTTGTGATCTGGATCTGAGTGCCTTTCATCATCGGAAAACCGCCACGGACGCATTTACGATAAACTAGCCTCTCTGCAGTTTTGGACGTATCTCGTTCACTAAAGATATGCTTAAGGGCGATGGACCATGTTGAAAGTTTGTAGTGAGTAAAACGGCCAAAGCCAAAGTAGTATAACAAAACTTACGTACTTCTACAATAAAAGTAGGTAGATATGCAATGTAAAATTTGCATCGGTGATGACATTAAGCTAGCCTTACGACCTTTCTGCTTCACGTTTGTTTCAATGGATTAATGAGTAAGTTTTAGGGTGGTAGGTAAATGTGTATTCACCTCTGTCTCACCTACCCATAGAAACTGGAAGCCAGTGTGCTTGTTAAAAGCTACAGCCACCCAATGCTGTTATCGTTAACTTAGCGGGATTATCCAGTAGGATCTACTAGCAAACCGAGATACGAGGCAAGCCTACCATAGCGCTTTAAATAAGACGGCAAGAGAAGTGGCCAACATACGTTGAACGAAACCAATCGCTGCAGGACGAGTGAACGGATAGATGCTTCATTCAGTTTCCTATATGTGTTACGTACAAATAATTTATTAGCCCGTGTTTACATGTTGAAATGAGTGAAATTTAGAGTCAACTAGTACCAATATTTTCAGGCTCAGGTGATTTTATGGTTCATCACTCCAGGTCAGTAAGATACCTTGCAGCTTCTTGACTGAACACATCCTAGCTTTCTCGATTTGATTTTAGCCATGAAAAAATACTTGCCTGTCCAGGGCGACAGAGGTAATTATTCGATATAAATAGGAATAGAAGCAATCTTAGCATACCTTTATAATACGGATATGGTAGATGCCCATGCAATAGCAAGAAAGCCTCACAATGTAAATCATCCTAGAATTTTTCCAGTTGAAAGTGAAAAACGTTCATGGACGCTGGCAGTAAAAATGACAGATGCAGATACAATATAGTATACTTAATAAAATTAACCATCCTTCAGAAAAATGAATAAACGAACATTCATATTTCAGCAATCTGGCTTCAATTTTCACTCATCATTTATTGATAGCCTTCAAGGTCTAGCCAGAACGGAGATAAATTAGAGGGCCCAAAAGACTGGGTTAGACGCAAGAACGATTATACTAAATGCACGAAAGTGCCTAGAGCTACCCATATCAGAGCGAGAACGACTTGAAGCCCAAAAGAAGAAACTTTTAGGGACACCAGTTTATTTCCAGCTGAGTTACAACCACACATCAGCATTTATCTTTTGCATCTTGTCAAACAGTCCGCCTCCGAGTGAAAATTGTTCCTGTTGCCTTTGCATCCACCGTAATTGAACTGCTTGCAACTACCACTCAGTCCGTCGAAGTGATAACGAACAGTGTTCCTTTTGCATGGACCCTTGTCGACAGGAAGCTTGCAGGGAGATCTGGAGGCTGAAATAGAAGGTAAACATTAACAATTACTACCAGTTGCGTGTAGTGATCTCACAACCAAAAGCCCCTCCTTCCTTATTGCGTGGACCGGGAAAGCTTCCAAACATATTAAGATCAGAAGTGTGGATGTAGTACAATTAACATTTTCACTACTCAAATCGTTTTGGCAAGTACACAGCCCAGAATATGAAGCATTACGTTCTTCCTGTGTCCAATCCACGTTGAGCACACTTAGTTCCCCAGTGTTGTTCCGTAAAAGGACGATGGGATTAAGTTACTTAGAAACCACTGAATACATTTATTTGATTTCATGCCCCGATGATGGATGCCCTCGCACATGCAATGCGGATGAGTGCCATTTCCGATGTCGATTGCTTACACCAGCTATCGATGTTCACACACAACACAGGAAAGGAATCGCAGAGGCAAGAGTTATTGACATTCATTGATGAACGTTCACCTGGCCGCTAACGGGACTCATCTGTCCCACTCTGCCTTGGTCCTCGCATGCCGGCCTTGACAACCGTTAGCGGTCAGGTGGACTTTACTCAATGAGTGTTACTATCTTCTGACTTAAACCAGCTAGACAATGAGCTCGTGGCTAAGTTTTTAGGGTGTCTGAGTCCGATCACATGGTCGCGATTTAGAGGCTTGAGTAGGGCACCACTTGGGTCTGATTATGAATGGTTAACGACGGTTAATAAGACAGAAATGACCATTCCAGTCTCCCTTGCCTTTGCTGGCAACACTTTCTGCGACCGTTATTGGTACAGCGAGGTTATGGACAATGATATTTAAAATTCCAAGAAATTCATGCGGATAAATGGTTCAGTTTTGTAAAAGACTACAGAACTGACTGTGCAAAGAAGGACTCAACTGACTTGGAACCTCAACTAAAACGGTAAATTACGGTAAGAGAACAATTCAACGTACCGAATTCAGGACCAATCGCGGTGGGAAGAGTAGCCGGACGGTGAGAGCCCATCCCAGGACCTGCAAAGGTGAAAAATTCAACGTTGACATTCAAAGAAAGTCACTATTTGCCTTCAAAGGATATTTTTCTGGGCACTAGCCAATGGAATTAAAGCTTTTAACAAAACTGCAAACTAAGGAAAGAAAAACGAACCAATCGCCCCCGGCATAGTGACCGGATGTCCTGGGCCACGGCCATCATCTGCAGAAGTGAAAATTAAAATTTAATGAAGGCAGACATGTTTCTCCAAAATATATCGGTCTTACCAGAGGTTGAGTTTTTGCGATAATTGTTCCACGGCATAGGCACAAGAGGTGAAAAACGACTAAATGCGGACTTACGTTTAAGGGTATTTGCTGCAACACAGACGATTAACGCCAGCAAAATCGCGCAGTACATGTTCATACTGATGGGCTTGTAAGCACCGTCTCAGGCAATGCTTTTATAGATTAGAAAGAAACATGGGGGACTCGCGTTTTGTCTCTGAAGCGTGACCTCTATGACCAGGCGCGAACATGCCTAACCCTGTCGTGGCAGGTATTTTTTCAACGCAAGTCAAAAGTTGAACCTTTTTTGCCTCACAGGTCAGGGTGTTCAGGTATGAGCTAGAATTTCACACGTGAAAACTGCCATGCGGACCTGATTCAACGCGTGTCGTTGTAACTTGTCTTACTCCTCTACGGACGATATAGATATGAAAAGTCTTATTGACAAACAATTATTTTCGGTCATTCATCATCAAGCCGGTACATGACATCGG